TCAATTTTCCAAGAGTTCTGTCATGCCCAGAAATATAGATCAATTTAATTAAGTGAATCTTACCTGCGTCTTGTTTGTTCTGACAAGTTTGAAATTTTCGAATTTTTCCTTCTGTATAAATATTTACATTGAGCAACTTATATCTTCTCTAAGGCTTCGCGTTCACACTAGCTTTTGATCAGCATGCATCCAGACAGGCATTAGGGAAGCGTTTTTTATAAAAAAATGAAACACTACTCAAATGCCTATTGAAGAATTTCTGGCACCATGGCAGCACAGGAGCTGTTCACCACTGAAGCGATAGCATCTGCATCACGTGCAAAACTGTGCGCCTCATGTCGAAGACAGGGAGGAGTTGTAAGCCTCCCCATACAAGTGTAATGTGCCGCTTCTCAAATGCCTGGCAGATCCATTTGCGGTGTGGTTCTCAAGGCATTTTCTGAGCGTCCAGTACCATTTAGACCTTCATTACAGGCATTTGTGGTACAGTTTTATAACGCTTGGTAAATGCTTAATCACAGGCCTCAAAACCGCACAGTAGGGCATTTGTGGAGGCCATTTGAGGAGGATTAAAAAAATGCTGTCCCAAACACCTGTCAGAACGCTATAAGGGCGTTATGGTGCAAGAGTAGTGAAATACAAGTTCAAGAGTTGAACGATAAGTCCTTAAAACCTCTCTCCCTTATACAACTTTGACCCCCACCCCCACCCCCCCCTGTTCATCACCTGTTCCCTCTGTTCCATTCAGCAAATCTAATGCATCACCATGCATCACCACCCCACACTGTATTATTTAAATATTTATTTATTGAATCTTGTTAATGTGTGGTCGCAATTCCTATCACCTTACACTCCAGATCTATCATTAATTATATGATTCCTGATTGTGTATCTCACCACTAGTCCTGATTGAATTCACAATTCCTGGTCAGGTCCCGTTTCCCTGACCTAAATAGAAACCTTTAGGGCCAGTTTCACACTATACATGATGTTTACAGGTTGCTTTTTTTGCATCACAAAAACGCACATATAGAAGTTTATAATGGTTTGTCAATGTCATAGTTCACATCAGCGCTTGCAGTTCCAGTGCATTGGCATGTGCCTTCGCCAAAAAAGTCAAACAGGCTGCAATTTGTTTATGCATAGAACTGTATCTGGTAAACCGCGGTAAAACTCCCTTGGAACGCACTAAAACACACATGTCCCTAATTTAAAATTTTAGAAAAGAGTGAGAGGAAAAAAAATTAACATGGAATGCAATAAAAAAATGCAACTGGAACGGTCAAAAACGCATCCCAAACTGCACTGGAACACACCAAAAACACATCCAAAATGCACTGAACACAGTCACGCTAGCGAAAAAACGCATCCAAAAATGCAGTGGAACACATCAAAAACACATCCAAAATGCTCTGGAACATGCTAAAAACATGCATCAAAAAAGTGCATGCAAAAACGCATCTGGAACACATCTAGACTGTTTCTATAGTGTGAACTGGCCCTTAGCACTTTGTTCACACACCATTTGTGGTGGCAGAACAGTGGGGTGGACTGACCATTTGGAAACTCGGGCACTGCCCGAGGGCCCAGGGTCAGTAGGGGGCCCCATGAGATGCCCCTGGTCACCTTTTTCATAGGCTTTTTTGAGTTTTGGCAAGGCAAGTACATGACACAGGGGCCCCATGATTCCCCTATTGCCGGGGGCCCCATGAGTTATCAGTCCGCCCCTGGTGCAGAAACGCATGCAAGAGCACGCATTGTCCAGCACAGCAAAATAATGCAATGCCCTCTGCAGATGTGCGCAGGTACCATGATGAAAACGTAATTGCACCTCCACATGTAAAGTAAACACAGATGCATTCACAGCCACCAAAACGCATGGCACCACAATACTGTGCAGTTAGGTGCAACACACTTTTACAATAACATGCCTGCAGTATTTTTGCGTGTTTTCCACACATTAGGACAGCCCATTGAAATTAATGAGCTGAAGAAAAAAAAAAAATGCCCCATTCACACAGGTCCTCTGGCCTGTACAGCATGAATGAGGGGTTGTTCATGTGGCTGGAGCCACCTGTTACACTATGCGGACACAGCAGCTGTATGAACACAGGTTTTAATCTGACAGGTGTGAAGGCGTGGGGAAGTGGCCCTGAATGCTCACTGTCCTGTGTTCAGGGCTGTACACCTGCACCCATATGCTTGTCAAATTATGACCTGCAGCAATTCCATTGTGTAACATAGGTTGCCTACAAACGGCGATAGCCACAAAAAACGCAACCACTGATTCCCACTCTACAGGCCACAGCACCCATAGGAATGAGCCCCACGACCTCAATTACACACACAGCTTTATTTATGAACTCAGTACAGTTTTATCATTTAGATTTCACAGGAATAAGGTTGGGATGTCAATTAACAATGTTTTTTTAGTGTATTTTTACCATAAATATAATTTGGATATTTTCTCTGGGGGTGGGGAGCTGTAAGGTATGCTGTATGGGGCCCTGTGATATCTAACAGTGCCCTGGGTGTATGCTTGTGTCTGTGCCACCTGTATAGTTAGGAAGAACCTTGAACCTCTGCTATGTACCTCAATGATCTAGGAATTGGACATGTTTTTCAACTGAAAATACAATTAGTAATGTTTCCCCTGCAAATGAGGAATCAGCTCCTTGGTGGAGAACAGCGCTCTTGCCATGTCCAGATGTTGTCTGGAATTCCCACAAAAGAAACAATTCACAAAAACTAAAAAATAGACTTGCAAATTACCACTAAACTCTCCTAACTACACTTCCCATCCACTAACACTCCCCACTACTCTACCACTTTCCGGGTGAGTGCAAACGTCCTTCCACCAACGTCAATGACGTATTTCTGCTATGACAGCTGCTCTAAGCTCCTCCTCCAACAGCCGTCTTGGCGTTTAATTTGTGCACCATAGCAATTTTACATGCAACTCCATTGTGTATATAACATTCGCAAATATATGTTTGCAGTTTTCTATTGTGGATTTGGCATTGGTGAATGTAGCTTGCAGCTATAACTGTATATATGACATGGGCGAATATATATTTGCCAGTAAAGGCCCAAAGTCAACATAAATTGGGGGCCCAATTTATTACTGTTAAGAGGATTGTAGAAAAATAGCTAGCTGCACATTGAACACGACCTATTCATTGGTACATAACATGGTCTTGTTGTGGTGCAATAGGGGGCTTTTGGTTTGTTATGGTGGACATAATGACTTGCATATGTGGTGCTCTAACAAGGAAGATTTGGGCATATTATATAGCTACCAAAAATAAGTGTTAGGGGTGCTAGTACATTTATTTATTTCAGATACTTATATAGCGCTGTCAATTTAGGCAGCGCTTTAACATATATATGTGGTAAACTCACATCAGTCCCTACCCTCAAGGAATGTACTATCTGGTCAGGGCTCCCGGGTATGACCAGAGGTATGTGACTGATGCAGGGAAACGCAGGCTTCAGATATGTTATAAACAATATAATTTATTAACACTAACAATACAAACATAAACGCAGTGCAATACTAAAACATAACAGTGCAAACGAACCAAACCACCCACAGATAATACATACAATGCAAGCGTCGTCAGGCAGGCCGGGTCAATAACAATCGGGCAGGTAGGTACAAAGGGGGTCAGGCAGAGAATGGTCGGGGTCACAAGCCAGGGATAAAACAGGAGAAGTCAGCAGAGGTCCCGGATCAGGCAGGGTCATCAAACGAATCAGACAGAGAACAGGAACAGTGAACAGAGATGCAGGAACAAGATACAGGGGCCCAGGAAAAACACACACCAAGGCCAAGACTGCAGGTCTGGCCATCACTTAAATACACCTGCATAAGCAGTTTTTCAGGTGTTTTGGCTGGCTGCAGGGTTGAGTCTCTGATTGCTGGGAGCACCCGCTGGCCAGCTCTGTACTCGCAGCCCACAAGGCAGGTGGGTCCCACCATTACTGTGCAAGAAATCCATTCCTGACAGTAACCCCCCCCCTCAAGAGCGGCCTCAGGACGCTCCAAACAGTCCTAGCTGGGCAAAATGTTCCACCGCCCGGGTCTGGTAAACTGGAGGGATATCAAAGACTGGCACATCGGGCAGAACTTCCGGGCAGCAGCACACCGGGCAGGACTCCGGGCAGCGGCACACCGGGCAGGACTCCGGGCAGCGGCACACCCGGGCAAGGCACATTGAGCAGGACTCTGGCAGCACGGCACACCGGGCAGGACTCCGGGCAAGCGGCACAACACCGGGCAGGACTCCAGCCAGCGCACATCGGGCAGCGGCACACCTGGGCTGGACTCCGGGCAGCGGCACACCGGGCTGGACTCCGGGCAGCGGCACACCGGGCTGGACTCCGGGCAGCGGCAAACACCGGGCCACCAGGCAGAGTGACAGGCATCGGGCCCCCAGGCGGGGCGCGACGGGAATCGGGCCCCCAGCCGGAGCGGCGGGCGCCGGACCCCCAGGCGCAGCGGCGGGCGCCGGACCCCCAGGCGGAGCGGCGGGCGCCGGACCCCCAGGCGGAGCGGCGGGCGCCGGACCCCCAGGCGGAGCGGCAGGTCTCGGGCCCCCAGGTGGAGTGGCGTGCGCCGGACCCCCAGGCGGAGCGACAGGCACCGAGTCACCAGGCACGACAGTGGGCTCCGAGTCAACTGGCATGACCGCGGGCACTGGGGTCAGACATTGGATCATCCTGGCTGGACAGCAGGCATCGGGTCACCAGGCATCAGGTCATTTGGCCTCGACAGCGGGCACCGCGTCATCTGGCAAGGCAGTGGGCACCAAGTCACCAGGCACACAGTGGGCTCTGAGTCAATTGGCACGACAGCGGGCACCGGGTCATCACGTACCGGATCGTCTGGCTCGACAGCAGGCACCGGGTCATCTGGCGCTGGATCGTCTGGCTCGGACAGCGGGCATCGATCACCAGGCATGACCCGCCGCGGGCACTGGGTCATCAGGCATTGGATTGTCTGGCTCGACAGCGGGCATCGGGTCACCAGGTATGACAGCGGGCACTGGGTCACCAGGCATCAGGTCATTTGGCTCGCCAGCGGGCACCGCGTCATCTGGCAAGGCAGTGGGCACCGAGTCACCAGGCACGACAGCGGGCTCTGAGTCAATTGGCACGACAGCGGGCACCGGGTCATCAGGTACCGGATCGTCTGGCTCGACAGCAGGCAACCGGTTCATCTGGTGCTGGATCGTCTGGCTCGACAGCAGCCATCGGGTCACCAGGCATGACAGCAGACACTGGGTCATCAGGCATTGGATCGTCTGGCTCGACAGCGGGCATCGGGGCACCAGGTATGACAGCGGGCACCGGGTCATCAGGTACCGGATCGTCTGGATCAACAGCGGGCATCGAGTCAACTGGCCTAATAGGATCATCAGGCTGGATCAGTTCATCAGGCTGGGTAGAAACATCATGCTGGGTAGAGGCATCAGGCTGAATAGAGGCATCAGGCCGAATAGAGGCATCAGGCCGGGTGGAGGCATCAGGCCGGGTGAGGCATCAGGCCGGGTGGAGGCATCAGGCCGGGTACAGACATCAGTTGAAGTGCGGGTGCCGAGGCACCAGGCTGAACCATGGAAGGCCGGTTCTCAGACGGCAGGCTGACCGGTTTGGATACTGGCAGGATGGTACTGGTAGGAAAGAATTTTCACTTTTTTCTGGTTTTTAAAACTACTGGAAGCACTGCAAGTAAACGCAGGTCCGCAAACGAATGGAGCAGCTGGAGACAGAGAAGAGCTGGAGGATGGAACAGGGGAGGGAACAGTTGCTACAGAGGACTTCTTTACAGGGTTAAAGGCAGGATAGGTGCAGCGAGTGGGAACAGAGGACTGACATGCGGTAGATAGCAGGGCAGGAGGAGCTGTTGGAAATGCAGGAATAGAGCTTTGAGGAAATAGATTAGAAAGCAGGACTGGGTTTTTGCAAGCTGACTGAGGCTGGGTGCAACAAAATCTGTCCATGTCTGCAGTATGGGTTGAACAAAGCTGAGCTTACACAAAGCCTGTCTGACCAAGACTGCACTGCGTTTATACAATCCCTTAATACCTGTGTGAAAATGCAGCATAATGCTCCAAGAAGCAATCCACATCATCCTCTAATAACCATACCAGGGACTCTACCTGGTCTGCACTAAATGGGGCAAAAAGTCATTCCTGCTTTCAGGGGTACCAGATGAAGCCAACTCTACACAAACCTGAATCAAAGGTTGCACCTCAGAGAACTCTGTGCCCTGATCTACTAGAACATGAGCGATCTGTATACATTCTAGCAGTTGATCCCGGTATACTTCCTCAGAGCCTGATAAGCATATTCTCTGTCATCAAACACTAGCAGAGATAAATACACAACCTCATCAAGATCCATCCTTCCCAGTGCAGCCACTTCTGGTCAGGATGGGCCTTGGTGTAATGTCAGGGCTCCCGGGTATGACCAGAGGTATGTGACTGACGCAGGGAAACGCAGGCTTCAGAATATGTTATAAACAATATAAATTTATTAACACTAACAATACAAACATAAACGTAGTGCAATACTAAAACATAACACAGTGCAAACGAACCAAACCACCCACAGATAATACATACAATGCAGGCGTCGTCAGGCAGGCCGGGTCAATAACAATCGGGCAGGTAGGTACAGGGGGGTCAGGCAGAGAATGGTCGGGGTCACAAGCCAGGGATAAAACAGGAGAAGTCAGCAGAGGTCCGGATCAGGCAGGGTTAGCAACGAATCAGACAGAGACAGGAACAGGAACAGGGATGCAGGAACAAGATACAGGCCCAGGAAAAACACACACCAAGGCCAAGACTGCAGGTCTGGCCATCACTTAAATACACCTGCATAAGCAGTTTCAGGTGTTTGGCTGCTGCAGGGTTGAGTCTCTGATTGCTGGGAGCACCCGCTGGCCAGCCCTGGTACTGCAGCCCACAAGGCAGGTGGGTCCCACCATTACTGGCAAGTCCATTCCTGACACTATCCAAGGGCCCTAACTTACATTCTTACATATACTAGGGGAAATTTTGACAGGATCCAATTAACCTACCAGCACGTCTTTAGAGTGTGGGAGGAAACACACAGGCACAGGGAGAACATGCAAACTCCAGGCAGGAGGTGCCATGGTTGGGATTCGAACCAACAACCCTAGTACTGCCAGGTGGAAGTGCTAACCATTTAGCCACTGTATTACATTCAACTAGAACATGAAATAATCCCCCCCAAAAAATACATAGTCCAAATGTTTAATGATCAAATACACATTCCACATTTATTTGGACAGCAACAACAAGTAGGTACATTCAATATCTTGGTGGGAAAAAAAAAACAACAAAAAACCACAGGATTGATGTTGCTAAAATAGAACGGTCCTGCTCATAAGAGCTTACAATTTAAAAGATTATACTTCTAATGAACTGTGCTTTCATAGGTTACAGCAGGAAACAAATGGTTAATATGTATCACTTTGGCTTATCCACAAAACAAGCTGCAGCTCAAAATATCAATATAAAAAATACATACGTGCCAAAATAAAAACACCTCCCACCTCCCCAAATCCCCCACACATACATTTCTCATCATGTTTGTCTGAAAACTGCATTTAAGTCTAAATAAAGCAAACTTGGAAGAGCAGAGCAATGGACATGTGTTAGGATTACAATGCAAAGATAATAAACACACAATCATTGTACAATAACACACAAACACACCTTAGAAGGAAGAACATGCAAAACATTTAAAGTCCACATAAAAACACAGCGTGAGTGTGGCCTGGGGCATTTCACCACAATATCTCTTCCTCCCCAAACCACCACAGACAAGGACTTGCAGAAAATAATGTGCCTGTACAAGGCAAAAAAAATCAGCCACTACTGCATCTCTTTATATAAGGTAGGCCACACCCACCACTGTCATTCATTTGGTCAGAGAAAGTGTTTGCACCTGATTAATTCTCTTCCCACCTGCGTTAACCCTTGGTATACAGGCCCCACAAAACAGAGTCAGAAAGAAAGCCACAGTGAAGTGTACCTGTGCAGCATACAACAGAACATTGAACAGGGATGTAAAAGGGAACCCTAATGGCAATATTTCTTGGCCCTATGGGCACAATTCACTCCAGATTATCGCATGAGTTAAGGCAGTCACAGGATCACATCTCGCATGCAATACTGAAAATGTCAGTTCACTTTTGCTAGTATGCGGTATTTACCATAAAATCGGAAAAACACTCAGGAAATCAAACATAAAAAAGCCTTACACCCGGTCACATCAAAGCCGATTTAGAAATTGTACAGTGAAGATGCTGATTTCCTTGCGATTTGAAAGACACCTGACACAGATATCTATGCAAAATCGCCACAAATGTAGTACATGTACTACTTTAGAATTAGTATCGGAAACGCACCCATGTGACTACTCTAATAGCAGACAATAGGGTGCGACTTGGCATACGATTTGCAAGTCGCATGCCATGCAAATCACATGCTAAGTCGCATCCAGGTGCATGATTTCAGGTGCGATTTGGGAATTGAAATTGTACCTGATATCCGATCTAATGAATGTGGATGTGAGTGTCTTAACATAAGCAATTTGCTGCAGCACAATTTCAATAGTAGTTTTTGTCTAACTTTTTCAGCATTTTGTAGCGATTTCACATATAGACTACAATAGAAATCGCAATGCAAAACACAATTGAAAATGCAATAACTCATTGGTAAATCTACAGAAAACACGGTGAAATTGCCAACAAAAAGCACAATTTTAAATCGCATCTAGTGTGAACCAAGCAGGCAATTCAACAAAGGAAATAAATCTTTGAAAGCATGCGGTATCTGCATGCTCGGATAAGGGTCTGTTATGGATTTGGGGGGGGGGGGGGACTCCATGCCATTATTTTATTACTTTTTTTTTTAATCCTTTTCTCTCTCTCGCTCACTCTTCTCATGGTTTGACAAACTTTCCCAAAAGGAGATGGAGTGCAAACCAGCATTATCCAATCAATCATTAGTCCCGGCCCTTATCTCATCCCATCGTTTGACATTCACATAAGGTGCAACTTTAAAGGTGTTTGAACAGACAAGGCCTCATTCTAATTCACATTCTAGGGATCATATAGACAGAAAGCAAAGATGCAGCCACCAGCACATATATGTTAGAGTAATCACACATAGATCATCCAAATTCATTGCTGTGGTTGGGATTCAATCCGACAACCCTAGTGTTGTGAGACAACAGTGCTAACCACTAATCCACGGAACTGTTGAACACTAATTCTGCCTGTATTTCTGTGGTGCGAATCAACCCTAAGTCCCTGGGCAAGGTCAGTGTAATTAGCCAGATATCTCCAATGCGACACAAATGTTGTGCTATGTTACCAATTCAGCTGTATGTTGGTTCTATGTATCCCAATACAAAGGATTGCAATACTAATACAGGCGTACCTCGGTTTACCAACGCCTCGGTTAACAGAATTTTTGGTTTACGAATAAAAATCCATTGAAAATAATGCCTCGGTTTACACAATTGTTAATAATTTTTTTCGCAATACAAAGTGTATGTCGACACTGATTTTCAAATGCAAATGCCAGCCTTTTTTTTTTTCTTCACTATAGTTCACAAGCTTAGAAGTCACTTTCCCCGAAGTTACAAAAACTTTGTATTTTTTATTAAACTCAAAGTAAACATTGTTTCCCTTAGGGATATAAATTCCAAGAAAACTTTCTCTTTTAGCTGGGGGAAGTGACAACTGAATTTCTGAGCTATAGTGAAGAAAAAAAAGGGAGAATTACATTTAAAAACCAGCACCATAATAAATAAAAAATGGCATGGGGTCCCCCCCAAAATCCATACCAGATCCTTATCCGAGCATGCAGCCTGGCAGGTCAGGGAAGGGGGGGGGGCGAGCAAGCTCCCCCCCCCCTCCTGAACCATACCAGGCCACATGCCCTCAACATGGGGGGGTGCTTTGGGGCAGGGGGGCTTATCAGAATAATTTCGGCATGGAGTTACCCCTTAATCCATATCAGATCCGAAGGGCTTGGTTTGAATAGGAGGGGGGACACCACTCTGTTTTTTTTTTTATTTATTTAATTTACGGGAATTATTTTACATTCAGCTGTCAGTGGGGAACCCCGCTGACAGCTGAAACATTAACACATGGTTGTCGCTACTAACGTGGAGTTCCCCACTGACAGTTGAATTTAAAAGCATGGTAGGGAATTATATATATATTTTTTTTAAAAACGGCGTGGGGTTCCCCTCCCATCCATACCAAGCCCTTCGGGTCTGGTATGGATATTAAGGGGTAACTCCACGCCGAAATTAAATAAAAAAACAGCTTGGGGTTCCCCCCAAAATCCATACCAGACTCTTATCCGAGCATGTAGCCTGGCAGGTCAGGAAAGGGGGGGGGACGAGCGAGTGTCCCCCCTCCTGAACCATACCAGGCCACATTCCCTCAACATGGGTGCTTTGGGGCAGGGGGGCTCCCCCCCAAAGCAACTTGTCCCCATGTTGATGGGGACAAGGGCCTCTT